GGAACAACTGGAAATACACATTTAAAAAAAGGAATCTATACACAACTCTTACATCCTTCATAGAAAATTAACTCAAAACGTATCATAGACCTAAATGTAAAATGCAAAACTATAAAACTTCTGTATGATAACATAAGAAAAAACCTAGATGATCTTAGGGATGGTGATGCCATTTTAGACATGATACCAAAGACACAATCCATGAAAGAAATAATTGATAAGATGGATTTTGTTAAAATTAAAAGCTTTGCTATACAAAAGACAACACTAAGATAATCAGAAGGCAAGTCACAGCCTGGGGGAAAATATTTGCAAAAGACACATCTGATTAAGAACTGTTGTCTATAGTATGAAAAGAACACTTAAAACTCAACAACAAGAAAACAAACAAAACAACCCAAATTAAAAATGAGCCAAAGGCCTTAACAGACATCTCACCAAAGAAGATACACAATGGTGAATAAGCCTATGAAAAGATTCTCTGCATCATATGTCATCAGGGAAATGCAAGTTGAAACAATGTGATATCACTGCATACCTATTAGAATGCCCAAAATCTTGATGTGGAACAATAAGAACTCTTACATTGCTGATGGGAATGCAAAATGGAACCTTTACTTTGGAAGACAAGTTGGCAACTTCTTACAAAACCAAACATACTCTTACCATATGATCCAGCAATCACACTCATTGGTATTTACACAAATGAGTTGAAAATTATGTCCACACAAAAGATGCATAGGAAAGTTTATAGCAGCTTTATTCATTATTGCCCAAAGTTGGAAGCAACCAAGTGCTTCCAAGGTGAATGGATGAATAGGTGAATGGATGAATAAACTGTGGTACATCCAGACAATGAATTATTATCAGCACTAAAAAGACATGAGCTATTAAGCCAAGAAAAGATGTGGAGGAAATGTAAATGCATACTACTAAGTGAAAGAAACCAATCTGAAAAGGCTACATACTGTATGATTCCAACTATATGACATTCTGGAAAAGGCAGGACTATGGAGTAAAACATCAGTGGTTGTCAGGGATAAAGGATGGAGGGAGGGGTGAATAGGCAGATCACAGAGAAGGTCTAGGGCAATGAAAATACCTTGTAATGTTATAATGATGGTTATCTGTCATTCTACATTGTCCAAACTCACAGAATGTACGACAGCACGTATGAGTCCTACGGTGAACTATGGACTTCGGGTGATTATGATGTGTCAATGTTAAGTGCATCCTTGGTAACACATGTATCATTCTGATGAGTGATGATAATGGGTGAGGATGTTATGCATGTGTGTGGGCAGGGAGTATATGGGAAATCTCAGTACCCTCCTCTCAATTCTGTTGTGAACTTAAAATAGTCATAAAAAAAAAAACCCTCTTTGAGAGGAATACCATCATTATTTTCATTAAAAAAGTTGGCTGAATGTCTCTTACTTTAAGCAGAACTCTAAGGTCAATGGAATAACCTTGAAATCTTCTTCATGCCTTAATTATCCAGAGTGGAAAAAAATACAAGTTCAGACAAATTTTTAAAGGAGTTCTGCTAAATAGTCACAAAATAGCTTTTTGTGTTATAAGCACATATCATATCTTTGTATCATTGGTTATCAAGTGGTAACCATTTATTCTATAATACATTTATATTTATACTACATTAATGGGTAATTCTATAGCAATTTCAAAGTTTATAATATTAAATATCCACTTCTGGACCAGGTTGTCTAAGAAAAGACTTTTCTTGGTGAAAGAAAAGTCTAATGGGCATGTGTCTTCTTTAGACACATAACCAACAAGGAGGAATCTTCAAAGTGGGCCAGGCCTCATTTCAGATTATTTGAAATGAAAAATGAGGTAGAAATTCCAAGGACACCAAGAAATTTGGACTCGATGTTTAATTCTACTGATACTTTATTCCCTACCCTAAATAACATTTAAGAACTCTTAGCTTCTATGCACACTAGTTACAGATATCCTTTTCAGTATTTTGTTCTTACCTATGACTTGAAGCTGTTTATGAAAATTGTAGTTTTTGAAAATCTTTGCAAAGAACTTTGGCATCTTCATTAAGAATTTCATGAAAGCAGAGGCTCCTGGGATATGTGTGATTCTGTAACAAAGTCAACACATTATGGGACCTATTACTTTATCTTACTAAGTAGCAATGGGTTGAAATGGATTTGTGCTTTTCTTACATTTATGACTTAGACTAGATCAGCTAGTGTGAAGAATTTGTGACAAAATGGAGCAAAATTGGAAAAAAAGGCATTTATTGAATGTCATTAACTATTTTAAATTATATTTTGTAAACTATAGGAGGTACAGAAAGTTTTTGTGCATTTTTTAAAGGGAGGTGAATAAAAGACAAGGACTTTTTAGAAGGTTTAAATAAGGATATGCAAAGGCTTGGGTATTTTTTAAGGAAAGGAGTCAAGTCTGGCCCTACAATTCAGAGCCTAGAGGACTAGGTAGTTATGTATGAACTCCATCTCAACTACTGCTTTAAGAGAGAAGGCAAAATAAAGAAAATTTTAGATTTGTATACACTCAGAAAGTGTGTTATCATGCCCCTGAATTTTTTTTTTCAATTACTGGAAAGTTCTCAGCACAATAAAAACAACAATGGAATAACACCAATGGCATATCTATATAAGTGCTAATTTAATACTTACAACAACTCTATGAGAGGTACTATTGCTATTTCCATCTTACAGCTGAGGAAACTGAGGCACAGAGATTTGTCACATAGCTTTCCAGAGCAGTATGGTTCCAGAGTCCATGTTCTTAATTATTACACTGAAATTACAATCCTATGAAGAGAAATTAGGAAATTCAAATAAGAAAGATGCATTATTTTAAATGTTGAATTTTGAGCTGGAGCTTCCTGGCAAGTAAATTGAACGTGAGGAAACTTGGTTAAGGGAAAATCAGAAACAGAGTAATTTGGGGAGACTTTTTAAGAGAAAAAAATGTAGTAGAGAAGAACAGAGAGCTTGTAGTTGAAGTACGGGATGGAAGAAAGGAGGAGCTAGCAAAGGAGTCAGAAGCCCAGTAAGTCAGGTAGTTGTAGGTTACAGAAATTGCCTTAGAAGAAAGGGATATAGGATTTGAGTGAAGGGACGGGGATTGTGTGTGCCAAGAAAATGAGAAAATGGCTGGAAATTAGAACTTGGCTCACTGTAAAGTGTAATGTCAGTTTGCTGTTATGGAGTCAGACTGATAAAAGTTAAGGAATAAAGTGGAAATTTTATTATAATTTTTATTATATCCTGATTGCTTCTTTTGAAAAATGTGACAGTGAAAGGAAGATGGATAGGACAGTTGCTGGAGGGAGTAGCAGCACTGAATGTTTAAAAAAGACAATGGAAACTAGTCTATTGAAAAGCAGAAAGGAAGAAGCCAGTGGATAAAATATTGACGATATTAGACCCTACAAAGGTAGTGGTGGAAGGAGAATGTGGGAAGGATGGCATGCGCAGTCCGGGGAGGACTGGCTCTGGAGAGGACTGGCTCCGGAGAGAAGGCAAGAATGGGTTAATTTGGTGAGAATTTTTGAGATCATGAACAGAATGTGGCTACAGATACTTTAAGATGTAGAGAGTATCAAACAGAAATTGGAGTCTCATAGCTTTTATTCCAGAAAACTAAATAAAGTCAATCTATTAGCATGGTTTGGGACTAGCACCTTTAATAGCAAGCTAGAACAGTCTTTGCACACAACACGATAGAAAGTCAACCAGAGATTAGTCAATTCAAGTGGGAGTTCAGTCACGAATTCATGCTCGACCAGGTCAGCTGTGACTCCCTCCAGTGAAAAATTACACACTTTGGGACCCTTGGGAAAACAAATGGGTAATCCTTTGGATATTGGCCCTGAGGACTACAGAATGGAGCAATTCTAAGGCAATACGGAAATAGAGCTGGCTATATATAGCAACAGCGAATTTAGTCACAGTGATCTTGACTTGGGAGATTAAAGACTCACTTTTTAATCGAAAAGTTGTGAGCAGGTGAAAGGTAGCCACCGCCAAGGACACATTAGCGGAGAGTAAGTAAGTGGTGACGCTGACTTTTTTTGGCTCATGATTTCACGTTAGTCGATTCTCACGTCCATTTCAAAGAGCCACTGAAAGTAGTTCTATGCCGTAGGAGTAGAAAATCTGATTCCAAAGCTAAGGCTGTATTTTCCCAGTCTAGCTACATTCCTTTCTCACTGATTAGCCAATGCTGCCGCCTTATGCAAAGCCGGCACTTCGGAGAAATCTGCTTTACAGAGGCAGGCACGACGCCAATCGGCCCGGGGAGGGCACTGTTGCTAGATGGGAGGCAAGGGAGGGTCCAGTAGTCCAAACCTTTTCACCCCCGCACGGGAGAGTGCCTGTCAACAGTCAACAATATATAGCTAATAAAATGCTAAGCTCTGAGGCCCTTGTTACACTGAGCACAGGGGGATAGGCAGCAGGGTTTTGCGCTGCCACTACTCCGGTTTCTGCAGCATCCCGGGCTGGTGGCTGAGGAAGCAAGAGCCGGTAGGGGTTGCAAGGAAATACCCGTCCCGCGACCTGGGGAGGAGCTCCAAGAAGGGTCCGGGGGCGGGTTTCCCTCCAGCCGCGGAAAAGCTCCAAAAATGGCGGGCAGCAACTCCGCTAGCGGGGCGCGCAAGCGCCACCGTGGCCATCCTTCTGCCCGCCTCGGGCGGCCCACGAACCGTCCATAGCGCCCTCACCGAGAGGTATCTGCTGCTTGCAATTGGCTGAGCTGGGCGGCCACTCCATGCAGGGCCGGGTCCTCCAAGCAGAGGCCACGTTTCCCGCCCCGCTAGTGCGCGTGCGCTCAATTGCCCCAGGAAAGCGTTTGCGCGCGTCCCCGCCAAGGCCCCCAGCTCGCGCCTCAGCTCCCTCCCCTTTCCGGGCAGGCCCGTCCCGTCAGCTAGGCAGTATGTACCGCGGCCAGCAGAGGGCGGTCCGGACCCAAGTCTGCAGCGGCGCCATTGGCGTGTGGAAAATGCCACCAGATGGCGGGTTAGGATTGCAGCTCCGTTGAAGGCGCGGCCCCCGCTCCTGAACCCCCGGCGACCACCCCGTAACAACCCCCCCACATCGGGAATAACACACCGGAGACTTTTGGGGGGAAACTAGGTCGACGGCCGGCGGCGCCCGTATGGGCAGCTGAGGTGAGTGCAGGCGGCGGCGGCGGCGGCGGCGGCGGGGGGCGGGAAAGAGGGGGAATGCGGCGGCAGCGGCGCGGGGGCTGGAAGCGCCGATCCAAGATGGAGGCCGGGAGAGAGCGAGAGCGCGAGCGGGAAGCGGGCGGGCCGGGCGCGGGACCCGCACAGGGGAGGGAGGCCGAGCGGGCCTGTGCGGAGCGCGGCGGTCACTTGCTGCCCGGCTGCCGGGGGGTACGGCTGTGGGCACCCCTCCCGCGAGCGCCGAAAATTGTGCCCCCGCCCGCTCGGGCACTACGGCGCCGGGCACGGAAGCCTTTGTGGCGCGCTCGGGCCCGCCGCCAAGCCCGCCCTCCGACCCCCCCCCGCCCGGACTCCTGGGACTCGCCCGCGCCCGGCAGGGCCGGGCCGAGGCGGGCTGTTGCAAACGCCTTCCGCCGCCCGCCGCCCTGTGTTTCTGCGGTGTTTTAGCCGCGTCGTCGTCACATGACTACGAGCTCCCTTAGCAGAGGGGCCCGGGGGTCGCTCGGCGTGGCGGCCCGGCCCAGTCCTCTCCTCGCTGGGGTGGGGCAGGGGGCTGGCGACTGGGAGAGGGGACGTCGAGCCCGTCTTTCCCGCTATCTGCTCTCCCCGCCCCGGATAGAGGCCTCCTTGTGAAACGCGTGTAGGCCCGAGCACTGCCCGCTAGTTGCCAATGCCCCGGGAGATGAGGCCAATAAAAGTTGTTTTCCTTCCTTTCTCGGGGTGGGGGCGGGGTGAAGAGCTGGGGAACTGGAGTGCCTGGAGTTGTACCTGGGCCTGTATGGGAGGGTTTGAACTGGATGTTGCTTGTGTGTTGTAGGGACTAAGAAATTTGCAGGTTTTAGGATGGTCATGTCACTCCTTATGCCCACATTTGAAATACTGTCGATTCTCTTCACATTGCAGGGAATCGTGCCCTGGGCGTAAAAATTAAGGGATGGTTTTGGAAGCATATAGACTCAACACAATGCTTTTTGCATGTGATAGCGAATTATATGATATGCTGTAAAAGGTGATGCGTATAGTTTCCTTCTAGTGGTTGTGACTAGAAAAGGCTCTATTTTGCATTTTCTTAGCAAATACAGTTTTTGTGAAAGTGCTTGAATTGGTATAAAGTTGTGCGAGTTGTAACTTACATGGAATTTGAATATATGATTCCACCTTTTAGTTTTCTGTGTGTGTGTGTGTGAAATGCAAATTCCGATGGTGAAGCACTTAGGGAAATATGCGTAACAATGAAAACGAAAACGACTTGTTTACTGTATGCTGTATTTTACCGTGTTCTGATATTTATAATGTATGAAGAATTCAGGCTAAAAAAATATTGCTCAAGGGGGAAAAGATTTAAAGGTATTTGAAAGATCCGGACAGGTTGTTTATAACACAAATTGTTTGCTTTCTAAATGAAGTTCTGGAAAACCTACAGGTGTTTTGCTAAAATTTTTTTCTTTACCTCTTCAAAATGTACTTTAATTTTATTCAGTGGTCTGTCAGTGATCATTTTTACAAACTACTTTTGAATGGAAATTTCTCAGTATCCGCTTTAATTTTGATGTTCTGACAAAGCTAAGGCATATTTAAATAGACATGAAATATGTAAAAATTATTATTAGGATTGCTTTCGTTGAAGATAATAATACAATTACTGTTGATTTGAATGGCTCTTCTAAAGCCTTAAGGGAGCTGTGATGTAGGGGAGAGAGCCCTGACTGAAGTTACCTTAAATATTCCCTAGGCTTGTCGTCTTTGGGATGTCACTCTTTAAGTCTTAACTTTCCTCATCACTAAAATAAAGATAATAAATTGTACGGTAGTTGTTTAACAAGATATGTGTATAAAAGCTATCTAAATTGTTAAAACTTAAAAAATGTATGCAGTTTTATACAGGTTTAGCCTTTTTTCCATGATTCTGGATCTGTCTTCACAATCAGCTTGGTGAGGGGATACAATGCACTCTGGAAAAGGATATGTCTACCGCCCTTTTATCTTTGCTGCTTTGTCCTACATTGGAGGGAGTCTTAGTTTTCTTTTGATGTATAACAGAGTACCACAAATTTAGCAGCTTAACAACACCCACTTATTACTCACAATTTCTATAGGTCAGAATCTGGGCACTATGTAGTATCTGGGTAGATACCCAGTATCTGGGTACTATGTAGTGGGGCTCTCTAATCAGCATCTCATCAGGCTGAAATCAAGAGGTCAGCTCTGGCTGCAGTTCTCATCTGAGGCTCAGCATCTTCTTCCAAGCTCACTTCTTGTTGGCAGAATTAATTTCCTTGTGGCTGTATGATTGAAGTCACTGTGTTCTTGCTAGCTGTTGGCCAAGGACCATTCTCAGTTACTTACCACATGTCCACATAAGCATGGCTGTTTACTTTCAACCAGGCAAGCAGGAGCCAATTTTTCTGACTTCCCCTTCTTTGAGTGGCAGGCTCCCATTTAAGACTCCTTTTTTAAAGCTCATCTAATTAGGTCAGTCCCACCCAGGATAATCTTTTTGGTGAACTCAACTGATTAGGGACCTTAAATACATAGGCAAAATCTATTTGCCATATAACAATCAAAGGAGTGTATCCCATTATATTTATAGGTCTCTCCCACACTCAAGGGGAGAGGATTATACCAAGGTGTGGGTCATTGAGGGTGCTTAGAATTTGGCCTGCCATGGGGAAAGAAGTTACCTTTACATTTGCTTCTTAGAATCTGGACATGCAAGGAGAGTACATAGGCAGAGCAATTATGGTAAGTTTACTTGTACTTACTTTGTCTTTTCTTCACACCTTTCCCTTTCCCATATTTTCTCGTACCTCAGTAAGTGCTTTCCTCTGTAAGAGCATTATACAGCATTTAGAGGAAATTAAAAATAACTAAAATTAAAATAAACTTTCAGTAGAAAGGAGGACAATGGGAGAGATTATATAATTCCCATTATTCCTTTGATATCTATTATTTTACCAGTTTTAGAGATGAGATTGAATCTCAGAAGTTAAGAAATGTAAATGCTTAAGGTGACAGATTGATACCGTCATTACATCAGACACTTGCTCTGGTGTGATTGGTCTAGCAGTTCATGAAGGACTTCTGGAAAACAAAAAACAGTTATTTGAAAGTGGCAGGATAGTGATTGATTACCGGTGGAACAAAGAAAACAAATTTAGTCGTGGTATATGGGATGATTTAAAAGTACAAGAAAGCAAAATATTTTCAAGAAGAGGCAATTAGGACAATGGTAGTTAAGGATACCATATTTTAAAAAGTATAACCAGGAGTTTAAATTCTTAGGAAGATACAGCTTAATTTCTTGAGAGGTGATTTACTAGGGGCTTGGTAAATCTTTACTAGCTGAATAAACATGTAAATCTGTAGAATTTAGATGATTCTTGGTATTGTAATACACTAGGGAAAAGTAAGAAGTGGAGACCTAAAAGAATGCTCTTGCATAAGCCTCAGAATCAGATGATTTTTAAGGTAGGAATCAGGGTTGTGTCTAATTCCTAAGAGAAGGATCAGTTTTCTGTGATTTTGATGAAGAGGATAGGATCCCAGCATCATATCTACTACTGAGAGAAACCTTGTGTTACTGAGAAATACGATTTTTTCAGTGAGCTCAGTTGATGTCATAGAATATTTTCTCCATATATACACCCCTATTGCTTTCTTCAGGTTTTTTCTCCTCTTCTAATTCTCTGTTCTTGCCTGTTAATGCTTGAAGAATATATCAAGCCCTATTTTCTTTATAAAATACATTCCTTTATGCTGTGGGCCTAAATGATGCATCAGTTAGTTGCCCAAATGTCTCTAAGGAGTTTCGCTGTAATTACTCAGCTATAGTAATGACTTTGAATTTGCAGGGAGCTCACAGTTAAAAAACATTTTACATTTTGACACTGTAGTACAAACATTAGAAGTAAAAGTTTCACAAACAACATTTAGCTTTTATGCAGTGTACTCTTGTTATTTTTCTGATTTAAAAAATAAATAAAAGTGCTGGCTGCAGCTCACCTAAGTAATATGATTCACAGAAACCCACATTTGGAAAAGTGCTGAATTACTGTCTCCTTGTAATCAGGAGAATGCAAAGTAAAACCATAAGAAGAAACCACTTAATTTCATCAGACTGGCAAACATCAAACATCTGATAATAACAAGCGTTGGTGAGAACATGGAGAAATTTTACTCCCACTTTGGTGGAGTGTAAGTTGACATAGTCATTTTGCAAAAGAATTTGTTTTCTCTAGCTGAAGATGCATGTACCTTAAACCTAACAGTTATATTCCTGATGAGAGAAATTCTTGTACTTGTCTATCAGGATATGTCAACAAAAATGTTCATAATAGCCTTGTTTGTAGTAGCCAACATTTACAAACAAAGTGTCCATCAGTGGTAGAAAGGATAAATAAATGGTGGGTTCCCAAAGTTAAAAGCACCTTCATTCCTAGGATAACCTCTCTTGGTCCCAGTGTATTACCTTTTTATGTTTAACTTGTAAGAGATTAAGGAATTTTTTTTTTCTTAATGAGCTTTGTAGTTTTCTTTGGTTATGATGTCTTTGTAAGGTTTTGGTATTAGGATTATGGTGGCCTCATAAAATGTTGGGAGGTGTTCCTTCTATTTATTGAGAGAGTTTGTGTAATATTGATACTAATTCTTGAACATTTTCTCAAGTTCTCCAGTGAATGATACCATCTGGACTTGGAATTTTCTTTGTGGGAGGATTTTTGGTAACATTCACTTTTTTAAGTAAACATAAGGCCATTTAGATTTTGTTCCATTTTGTGTCAGTTTTGGTAATTTGTATTCTTGAAAAATGTTTTCATTTGTTGAGGTAAGTTTGTAAGATTCCTTTGTTATCTTTCTAATGTCTGTATGATCTGTAGTGATATCTCCTTTTTAATTTCTGATGTTAATGTGTTCTTTTTTTCTTGACCAATCTAATTCTTTTTTTTAAATTTATTTTATTTATTTTTTCTTTTGGTATCATTAAT